ACTAGGCTATACTTCTTCTGTTTCACAGACCAGGCTGGCGTGGTGTTTTCTGGTGAATACAACAGCTAGTTGCGTTTTGTTTTGGTGTGCACCAGAGCAAGCTGGTGCACCATAAATCTGCACAATGACGTTGCTCAAAGAGTGATTTGTTGTCATCAAGTGACCTTCTTAAGATTACTTTCCTAATCACGTATTGCCAGCAGGCAGTCTCACTCGTGAAATGTGAAACCTTGAAGCCCTGAAAAAAAAAAATTTCAAGACATGCATTCCTGGCTTTTAATACTTCATTTAGGCTTTGTTTTCTTTAACGCCACAGCGTATATTTATATGAACGTTTACTATCATGGTCGTGGTTATTTCATTTACCGGATATTTTTTCGATATTTGCGATTTTTTACTAAGTCAATCTGACTGCTACGCTATGTATTCACTAGTATACCAACTATACGTTTTACGGGCTATAATTGGTGTTCTAAATTATTGAACTCTATATGCTCAATGTTCGACACCCCCAAGCGCTAAGTTGTAGCCGCCGCCTGATTTGCGCGCCAACATCTCCTTACATCATGTCAATGAGAAAAGAAATACGGCGGCACAGATGCAGCACATTCGGTATTATAAGGCAGAGAACTATGCAGCCATGTCAAAACAAAACAGTCGCTTTCGGGGAAGTTCTGACTGTAATTAGCGTTCCAGAAGTTTTGTAGTGTTATCTTCTGCGAATTCATTTATTCCTTGTGTCCGCAAACACCGACGCACCATCGCTCAAGCTTGAACTGGGTGGTTGTAGAACTCTAACGTTGTGCCATTCATACGAATTGAACTTTCAGGGCAACGCTGAATCATTTGCCTCTAATGCTTCTCTAACCGCAGGTTGTAAAGCATGCGCTAATTGTTGCCGATGGCTCCTCCAATCAAATCAACGCGCACCTGCACGAAAGAGGCGTACTCAATGGCGACGTTGCATGTCTTGATCGAGATCATTTATTCATGCGTGCGCCAAATGGCTTCGTTGAAAGAGTTGCAGCTCTGCCTTTCGCAACGTTAAGGCCACCTGGGAATAACACAATAATCGCTTTTCATGAATTACACCTATTGTAAGCTAGTTATCACATCGCGAAACTATATATTGAGATCAGTTCGAGGAGTTTATGGTTGGTTTCGTGTAGTTTCTTTACGTCTGTATTCACAGTCTGGGCATAAACTTACCGCACACTTCTCTATAATACACACATAGCACAGCTATTTTTTTTTTGAGAAAATTAAAACAGAGCTGTTGTTAGATACCTTCGATTACAAAAAACCACAGAAATTAATCAGGTACCACAACTTCGCAAACTGAATAGATGCTTTCCGAATTGCAATCACAAATTCTGTGATGGTATTTTTTCGTTTTTTTTTTCAACACGAGGAAAAATTATTTCACAATTGGCAGCATCGTAATTTTATTCATAATCTAAAGCGCACTCAATTGGTTCCGTAACTAAAAGAAACTGTACTACAATTTTTAACTATCTCCGCTTCACGTCAGCTGCTCAACTGCTCGTAACAATTCTCATCAGATTCATTCATTCATTCATTCATTCATTCATTCATTCATTCGTTCATTCTATTTACCATCAAAGCCATGTGGCATTATTGAGGGGAGTGGTTACAAGTTTACAAGGAACAAAATACAGAATGAAAATAAGTTATTGAACAAACAAAAACTCCTCATTATACAATATCAGCTGCGTGAGGACAACCACTTCAATACAATATGAACATAATACATAAAAATGCATAAGATAATGCATTGTACACTTTTGAATTATACAAAATTATGTAATCCTTGACGAAAAAGATTGTTCATATTAACAGTAATTAGTAATAGTAATATTGATTAGTATGAATGACCAATAAAAACACTGCGAGTTGCGAAAGGCAATGCCAACCTTATGACGGTGGTCGATACGATGAGATATGTACTGAAGATTGAGGATTAGTTGGTAATGAAAGACGGTATGATAGAATATTTTGTGAAAAGTTGCCGGGCGGGTCCCATTTGCTGATGTACGAGGTATGAATGATCGATAAAAACACTGCGAGTTGCGTAATTCAATGCCAACCTTATGACGGTGGTCGACACGATGAGGTATGTACTGAGGATTGAGGATTAGTTGGTAATGAAAGACGGTATGATAGAATATTTTGTGAAAAGTTGCCGGGCGGGTCCCATTTGCTGATGTACGAGGTATGAATGATCGATAAAAACACTGCGAGTTGCGTAATGCAATGCCAACCTTATGACGGTGGTCGACACGATGAGGTATGTACTGAGGATTGAGGATTAGTTGGGAATGAAGGACGGGATGATAGATTATTTTGTGAAAAGTGGCCAGGCGGGATATCTTACGACGGGGTGCAAGTGAAGGGAGGCCTAGATTGGATTTCATTGAAGTTATACTGGCAATGCGAATATAGTTGCGCAGTATGAAACGGTCGAAGTTATTTGTAAAAGTTCGACGGAAGCGATCAAGTTATCGTGGTAAGGATCCCACACAGAAGAGGCATATTCGAGTTTGGATTTTACCAATGTTTTACATAGGAGCAATTTTAATGGTGATGGTGCTTTTGAAAAGTTATGACGTATGCAGCCTAGCATGCGATTGGCTTTATTAGTAATGTATTTGATGTGAGGTGCCCAAGATAGGTCTGTCGGGATAAGAACACCCAGTATTTATACGAGTTGACCGGATCGAGCGGGATGTTGTTTAAGTAGTATGTTGGCGGGGTGTTGGGTGATCTTGTTATGCGCATTACCTTACATTTGCCAATGTTCAAGTCCATTCGTCATGTGCTGCACCTGGTTGTTGCGGTGTTAAGATCAGATTGAAAGAATGAAATGACATTATCATTGGTTTTTTCTCAAAAAATGACGCAACTATCTTCAAAAAATATGTATGTTAGAAGAAATAGAAGACATGAGGTCGTGAATATAAATAAGAAAGAGAAGCGGACCGAGGACCGACCTTGCGGTACTCGTGAGTGGACCGCTGGAGATGACGCATTGTGATTGTTAGCAGTAACGTACTGAATTCTGTTAGATAGAAAACACTCCATCCACTTCAATAAATTACTGTCAATGTTTAGTTAGCTCAATTTAAAAAGTAGTAGTTGGTGACAGACTTTGTCGAAAGGCTTACTCAAGTCTAAAAAAATACAGTCGGCGTATGATGATCGGTCCAAAATCTGATGCAGTTTGTGAGTGAATGACATGAGTTGTTTGTCGCATGAAAAATGTTTGCGGAAGCCATGTTGCGCATGTGTAAAAAAAGAGTTAGATTCAAGAAAGGTAATGAAATCGGTTCTAATAGTTTACAAGAAGTGCTCGTTAGAGAAATTGGGCAATAGTTATTTGGGGAGCGTTTCTTACCCGATTTAAAAATTAACTTTATTTACCGATTTTCCATTGCGTAAAAATATTTGATGTATCTAAGGATTGGTGAAAGGTGTTTGATAGTATCAAAATTTAGAACCGAAGTCATGGCCAAGAGAAGAGTGAATGGGCAAGTTATTTATAGGTATAGCAATACCGGAAAGAATCGATAAAAACTGGGGGCATGACGATATAGTCGGAGTTCTGCGCATGAGGCAGATTGACGTTACCAACTAAAAAAAAGTTGTTTTTGAAAGTGTTTTTAGGAAGATCGACACACATGTTTGTAGAAACTGGATTGTCGAAATAATCTACTAGATTTATGCTGTTATCGGGCAAAGGGTTATTTAGGCACAAAAATTTGCGTACATTGGTTGAGAGCGTTTCTGGCAGTGTACGAGGAAGAAAGAGAAACTTACAGGATTTCATAGCGGCAACGTAAGCGTTGTGTGCAGCCTTGTAAATGGCCCAACGTTATTCAGTAGGTGTTAGTCTCGCAGATTTGTAAAGTTGTTTTTTTTTTTTGTCAGATAGCCACCTGCTGTAGGCGTTGTACCATGGTGCCTTCTGATTAGAGATGATTATACGGTCAGGAATGTATTTTTCATCTACTTTTGCAGCGAAAAGATCCAAGTTCGCTTGTACACAGCAATCACCGCATTGAGAAAAAAAAGGAGTCAATAAAATTAGACAATTCAGCATTAATGACATTGAAATGTCCTCTTTTGAAATCGCACATTACCGTTTCCTCATTAGTTCGTTTGGGAGGTGACATTTTAAGGTGAAAATCAACCAGGCAATGATCACTGATAGCGGGTAGATAAGTGATTTCAGAAGCTAAGGTGGGTGTGTTAGTCAAAAATTAGGTAAAGTGTATTTAAAGCAGTACTCGTTACTCTTATGATCCAGCCTCACATGAGTGCATCATTTCCTTGCATGCATTTCAAAGTTGCGTAAACATGCCGTACTTTTCTAGCGCATTGGCTGATTCAGTAATGCTAACGTGGTCCCGTATCGCATCAACCTGACATTGCAGTGAGGCGGAAATATTTAGCCGCACTCATATTTCGTTGTCATGTTTAACGTATGAACTGTCTCATTCCTATGTCGTAATGAACTTCGAATCCCGCGTCACTGCATTTCGGAAACAAGAAACACAACCGCGCCGCTGATCTCGTAACTAGAGCTCTTGATGGCCCCTGCGAAGACATCTGTCACCATGCGGACTATCCGTCAGGCACGCCTGTTTATAGCCTTCATCCCCATAACTTGCGTGGTGTACATTAGCAGTAGTTTCAAGGGATGTTGGTTCGGCTTCCTTGCCTACTACAAAGGCACAGTGCCATTTCTTTGCCTACGGCGTAAATCCAGAACATTTTTTTCCGGCTGCATTCTACTAAGGATATACTTGTACAATATGAAAATTCACTCATAGTTCGTTGTTGTCACTGGAAGGAAACGGGGTCACATAGATGAATGTGTTGGTTTGACCCTTAAGACGTTAGAAACTTGTCGTTTTCACTGTAGTTTTTTCACGTGCTACACTTCATTCTTTACTTCAATTCTTTTTTTTTTTTCACAGACGACATGGCACCTCGGGACCAAGCGGCGTCTATCGACGGGCTGCTGATGCGGCTACGCAAGGCAGTCGCGCCCGCCCTGGAGCCCAGAGCCAGCGTCCCTGCTGCACCGCATGCCGCCCGTGCTCCAGCGGCGCCCCAACCAGCCGCGCCCGCTCCGGCAGCTCCAGTGGCTGCTCCCGCCCCAGAACCCACGCCGCCAACCGTAGCAGCCGGTGTCGGAGCGGCTGCCGCAGGTGCTGTCGCCGCCGGTGCCGCTCCGTCAGGTGGTGCACCGGCTGCAGTACCTGCAGCGCCAGCCGTGCCAGCCGCACCGGCTGCCGCACCGGCTGCCGGGGTAGTTGCAGTACCGGCTGCCGGAGTGGTTTCAGCACCAGCCGGCGCCGGAGTAGTTGCAGCACCGGCAGCCGCCGGTGCCGCCACTGGCTCGGCGGCAGCTGCTGGAGCGGCCGCACCGAACAACGTGACGGCCGTAGTGGCTGCTGCTCCAGAAGAAGAGGTCTTAGAGGAGATGCTGCACAAAGCCTCCGACCTTACGCACAGTGAGTCATGCAGATCTTCTTGTATGCATGATGTATCAGTATGTTTTATCACCACTAAAACATGTTACAGTTGCTATTGAAGAGCTTTATATAGGCATGGGAGCTACTTGGAAGGAAGGAAAAACAAGAAAAGAGAAGACAGGGAAGTTAACCAGGCACATGCCCAGTTTGTAGCCCTGTGCATTGGGAACGGGAAAAAGGAAGTATAAACATAAAAGAGACAGAAAAGAGAAGAGAAAGAGTGGAGAAGTAAGATACTTTGTTGTTCATAGTTCTTTTGGGAGACTATGTTTTACCAATAATAGTGTTTTCTTGCATTATTCGTAGTCTTATAGCATTGCATATGCTCCCAATCACGCTATAGCCCTCAGTAAGACTGCAGTGTACATATACATATACATAAATAAATATTATGGTGAGTACCGCAAGCCGGAACTATAATAAGATTTTTCTCATTCTGGTAAATTTTTAACGATACGCATTCATGGAATTTTGGCCAGTGTTTATATATTAGTTGATGCAAATAAAACTTACATGACGAGTCTAGGTTTAATGTTGAGCGCCCTTTTTATTCTGTATTACCCAGTGATAAACACAACGGCCTGTATGCCCTATGTAGCAGCTTCGACTCCCTTTTCAATACTTAATGCAACACTGTTAAAGTAGCGCTGTTTGTCTCTTCGGTGAATCTTGCAAGGATAGCGATAGCGAACCAATACCTTCACTTGAGCGTTCATGGTCCGCTCCGGGGCAACCTGCGTATGCTAGCGATTTTCACTCAAACACGCTGAACGAACTGCGAAGCGAATACACAGAATGACCGTGCGAGCCGTGAAACCTGGCACACACCTCTCACTTCGATTGCGGAGTCAGTTAGATGAGGGGTAAAGATGTGTCCACTTTGTGTTTCTCCATTGTCTTGTCGCCAAGCTCATCACGTCTACGTGAAACTGCGCTTCTCAACACCGTAAAATATATGCACTTCCCTGCACTGCCTCAAGACACCACAACTAGACACCACAACTTTTAGCTAAGCCTTAGCGACGCTCAGCTAAAAGTGCCAAGGGAAGACGGTTTCTTTGACCCACGTACTTTACTGCCACAATATTTACGAAAGCAGGATAGCACGAACAGGGAAGTTTGGCTGCTCTAAATTCCAGCTGTCGTGCCATAACGCACTGTCGGAACACACTCAAAGATGACATATACCTTTCCCCTCAAATTACCCTTTAGCAAATTGCTTTGTTCTGTTCAGAGGGATAATTCTTCAACAAGATATTCCGCTACTGCTAACCTTTCAATATTTCAACAAGTGATACTGTCTTTTTCGTAGCTATGCTGCCTCGCAGAAGACAGCTCTGCTTGATGAAGCTATGGCTCCAGCAGCACCCCTTCCCTCAAAATTCAACATTTTCTGAACTTCTCAGGTTGTTTGTATTATACGTGGGTATCTGTGGGCAGATTAAGGTAAGCAGCACCTAGGCTTCTTTACATTTTTTGTCGTCTAAAAACTGGAAGAAATGGTCAGGAATCTCATTAAATAGAGAGGAGATAAAGGTTCTCTGGGCGGCTTTGCGAAAGGCTTTTAAAATAATATTGTACATGCGAAAAAAAAATCTATTTGCGTATTGCTATTTTCTAGCTGACCCGTGAATTTGATCCTGTTTCAATAAATAAGGATTAGAGGTTGGCTGAAGTTGATCTGCTTCGTTAAGAAGACGTTGCGTTCCTTATCTTGTACATTCTACGCTTCGCGATTTTTCCTTGCACGATACGTTTTTTTCTCATACAACTAGAATGTCCCAGTCTTTAGGAAAGCCTTTTGGTAAATTTACATCCGTGACTGGTTTTATTCTTCGATCATTCCTCCGAAAGGTGCTTGCTTATATGCTAAACACAAATTTACATAAAAAGACAAGCTATACAGGTGACCTTATTTAATTTTCTACATCTACTTGTGCAGGTTGAAGCACAGCGTAATTGGAATCTTTTCGAAACAAGCCCAGCTCATCAGTCTTTTTTTTGTGGGGGGGGGGGGGGGGGGTAACCAAATCCTACGCCTTCAGAGAAATTGAATTCCGAGACGTTCGCTGGGTTCTTTTTTTTTTCTGCCGGTAAAAAAGGACTACTATGTGCTGTATAAATAAAAGCTTAGTTCTCTCAGATATTTTGCAAAATCGTTTTTTTTTTTCTAGCAACACCCTACATTCAATCTGCCCACTTCTTGATGTCGACATAGTAAACGAGTTGAAGCTAACGCTGTGCTCACATTTCTGTCGCCAAAAGAGGCAGTATTTGTGAAGTGGAAAGATCTCGTTGCTTGCAGGCACAAAGTTAGTTAGTCTTTTAGGTAGTTAGTTAAACAGACAGACAGACAGACGAATAGATAGATAGATAGATAGATAGATAGATAGATAGATAGATAGATAGATAGATAGATAGATAGATAGATAGATAGATAGATAGATAGATAGATAGATAGATAGATAGATAGGTAGGTAGGTAGGTAGGTAGGTAGGTAGGTAGGTAGGTAGGTAGGTAGGTAGGTAGGTAGGTAGGTAGGTAGGTAGGTAGGTAGGTAGGTAGGTAGGTAGGTAGGTAGGTAGGTAGGTAGGTAGGTAGGTAGGTAGGTAGGTAGGTAGGTAGGTAGGTAGGTAGGTAGGTAGGTAGGTAGGTAGGTAGGTAGGTAGGTAGGTAGGTAGGTAGGTAGGTAGGTAGGTAGGTAGGTAGGTAGGTAGGTAGGTAGGTAGGTAGGTAGGTAGGTAGGTAGGTAGGTAGGTAGGTCAGCAGGCGTTATTTGTGCGGCAACAAGTTGCTACAACTCTTCGAAGTTACGTGCTGGTCTGCTGTTAAATTTTCGTACAGGGATAACAGTTATCCTTAAAAATGAGCCACACAACTTATAACCCTCGCAACATGTGTGTGCGTGTGCACGCGTATTCGTCCCGTATATGGCAACGTTAGAGGAAGATGAGTACACGACTTGTTTCAAATACCTGGACGTTCGCAATTATGTAAACTGATTACAGCACTTTTCTTTATACTCTTCCACGCCAATGCAGCAGCTAAGCAAGGTCAACCCAGCTTGTCCCATTAGAGTTTGCATTAGAGCTTGCAAACATCCTTTGAGCATATCGTTTTTCTCTTCCAGCAGTACTGTTCAATGCTATAAAGTTAAATATAAAGACAGGCAGTGGTGTGGTGAGACGCACAAACAAATCAAAGCATATTACAGAATTTGTATCGAATACTGAGGCAGAAAAACATCACTCAGAATAACCTGACATGATATAAGGTAGAGGCGGCACATTCCAATTTCAGTTCCCCATCACCAAGCTGAGGCCTGAAATAAGAAGAGACATTTCAATGAAGATACTTTATTACTGCTGTTTCTTTGTAATATTAGGTCACCTGTTCCGCCATCTTTTGGCTGCTACAACCGATGATGCCCTGTTCAATTTGCCGTGTATTTTTTTTTTCTTGCCAGCCAAACTTCAGAATCGAGTGCGTGTCCCTTCCTGCCTGTCTAGACTGCCCGCACAAGCTCAGTGTGGTGCAGCAAAGGCAATCACGCCGCAGTTCACGCGAGATTGATTTATATGTTTCGTTCGGATCCCATGGCGTGACCTGGTTTCGACATCGCGTCGTGCTACATTGGGGAAGTAGAGCCGCACATTTTTTCCAGCCGTCTGTGTTCTTGTTCTCCGCTTTTCAACCACGTGTGATGGGGGCAGGACATCGCCGCGGTAAGTGCACCGGGTTTGAAACCAAACCTTGCCTGGCGACGCAATGGTAAATGTAAGATTAACAACTCGAAATCGGGACAAGATAATTCATGAACTATTTGTGATTTGCATTGCCCATGAAATCTGGCTCCCATCTGCCTCCTGATTTCAGCGCAGAAGGTTTGCTTCTCTTTTCTTGGCAGTTCAGCAGGTAATCACTCAATGAGCAAGGCGTGCGTCCGCAGCTGGGGTAGCTGCAGGGAGTAGCTCAGCAAGTACCTACCTGCTGAGCTCTCTCGGGTAGCCGGCCCAGCAGGTACGCTACCCCTGCGGAGCTGCCCACAGATATCCCACCTGTTGAGACACCTCTACCTCAGCAGATAGGTCCCCTGCTGATTTGAGCACAGATATCTTACCTGATCAGACATCTCTACCTCAAACAGGTAGGTACCTGCTGAGGTAGAGGTGTCTCAACAGGTGGGATATCTGTGGGCAGCTCAGCAGGGGTAGCCTACCTGCTGAGCCGGCTACCCCTTACTCAGCTGGTAACCACCTATTGCTCAGGGCTCCCACTACTCAGAAGGTGAGCTAACGAAGCGTGTAGCAGTAAACATCACACTGTTATTGTTAGAGGCGTGTATTCTTGATCATGGCAGTCTCAGCTCTATGGGGATGAAATGCAGCTAACTCCAAAAACGGCAAGGTGCCAAACTTAAACGTCCGCTAATGAACTCATGCTGGTCAAATTAATACATTGAAAGTTGTGTGCGTGATATTTATTATTCTCATGTTGTTGATTTTTTTCATTCTATATTCGTAAAGTTGCGAACGTCTAAGACAGGATTATTAATCTGCCATATGATGATCAGATAGATAGATAGATAGATAGATAGATAGATAGATAGATAGATAGATAGATAGATAGATAGATAGATAGATAGATAGATAGATAGATAGATAGATAGATAGATATACAGACAGACAGACAGACAGACAGACAGACAGACAGACAGACAGACAGATAGATAGATAGATAGATAGATAGATAGATAGATAGATAGATACATAGATAGATAGATAGATAGATAGATAGATAGATAGATAGATAGATAGATAGATAGATAGATAGATAGATAGATAGATAGATAGATAGATAGATAGATAGATAGATAGATAGATAGATAGATAGATAGATAGATAGATAGATAGATAGATAGATAGATAGATAGATAGATAGATAGATAGATAGATAGATAGATAGATAGATAGATAGAT